TATGCCCAGGGTTTGCTTGCTCTCTTCTATTAAAATATCATTAAGAAACTAATTAGAGAATTATAATTATCATTGATTAAGTCCCCTTTATTGAAAGGGCAGAAAATCATATCAGATATGATTACGAAGAGAAGATTAATAGAGCCAGCTATGGGCAGGCAGATCTGGAGAAGGGCCGTGTGTACTAGGGCATTGCCTCTCCTGGCCTCCTGTTTCCTCCAAGGATGGGATCTCAACTATATATGTGGGATGAGTCATTGCATTTCCTGAATCCTTATCTCTGAGAAGCTGGGAGCTTGTCCTAGGTGCTGTTGGTGGCAGACTGAGGGCAGCCAGGGCGCAGGGCAAGGGAGGGATGCCATACAAGGTATGTGTCTGTTAGCTCTCAGGCCAGCTAGGGGAGGCAGGAACACATGGGAGTCTAAGTAGTCGTACAGGAAGCAGCAAGTTTAGTGGATCAAAGTCATAGACAGCAGACTGGGGTTCGAGTCCTGGTCCCAGAACTTCCTAAGGTGGATATAGGCACACTGCTTCATCTCCCAAATCTTCTATTTCCTCAGCTACAAAATGTGGGCTAGCTAGCCCTACTTCATGGGATGGTGGTAGAGGTGTTGGAAAATACCTAGCACTGTGACTGACACAACGGGTTTACAATGAATGATTGGTCGTTATGATTCCTCAAGATGAATAAAAGACACAGGAAGAAAAATGAAATCTAAGGTGGAACATGGCATACTGTTATACATATGAAAGCAATTCGCTCTCTTGCTGGTACGAGTTGATAAATTTGGTAGGTATGCACTTCTTTATATAAAACGAGTCAAAGAACTGCAAGTATTTGGAGTTAGTTCACTGCAACAAAAGGAGAAGTAGGTCATTTGGGGAGACCTCAACATTTTTGCTGTTGGCCAAAAAAAAACAAAACAAAACAAAAAAAAAAAACCTGCAGTTTTTTCTCTACATCTATCAAGTGAGCTTACTCATGGTCTAATGGGTCTCAGAGACCCTTTTGAACTCCCTTTGCCTTTCAATGTGCAGGATCACCAATTTCACTTCTCCCTCAATCTTTCTAAGAGTCACTTAGATTCTTTAGAATCACAGCTTAAGGGTAAATTTTAAGCATCTCATAAATAGATTCCATAGCAATTTTCCCTGGACTGGCCTCTCTCCTCTGGTCTTTTTCCCTCTACCATGAATTGAAATGTTAGTGCAGAGATTTTCTTCTTTAAATTATATCTTACCTATTTCACTCAAATCTCTTACTGGTAGTACATTGCTCTGGGAATCAGATTTCTGTTTGTTTGTTTGTTTGTTTGTTTGTTTGTTTTGAAAGAATCAAACATGCTCAAGCTTTTGGAACTATTTGTGTTTCAATGAAACTATAAGCAATCACTGGGATGTAGGTATAGACATCATGCAGTTTACCCCCCTGCCAAAGTAATTAAGCATGCATCACCTAAACATGATATTGTCCTATATTATAATAATATTGCTATCATAATCAAGGAATTTAATGTTGATAAATCATAGTTTCTAATATAAAGACCATATTCAAATTTTCTTAATTGTCCCTAAAATATTCCTTATGGTTGTTTGTTTTGTTTTTTGCTTTATATATCAATGCCATCAAAGAGCTCTCATTGCCTTTGGTTGTCATAGCATGGAGACTTTTGAAAACTCACTGGGTAATTCTATATAACCCCTTCTCTTCCCTTTCTGTTGAAAGCCAGGGATGTAGAAACCTATCCTTCCCACCCACAAGTACCACCCTTAGAATTTCATTGTATCAATTCTATAACTATATAATCAGATATATCATACACTATATTATATCATTAGTTTTGCTTGAAAGGTTTTCTTAAAAGTGGGAATGCTTTCAAAAAGATTAGTTTATTATGGGAACTTCAGGGCCCAGGTAGTTTGGGGAGAAGATTTCCAAATTAGAAGATACCAAAAAGGCATTCCAACTGGGTTGGGTTGTAAAAGGGTAAGTAGAGTCCTGACATCAGAGGGACTGATCCTCTCTTGAAAGTTATTTGTTTTCCTTGGGAGTCAGGATTATTTAGGATTTTGGCATCTGCAGATGCCAAATAAATCTCGAAGGATAAATTGATATTCTCAGTCAAAGATGATAAATAGCCCGACCAATGAAGAGAACCACAGCTCAATGGGATTACCAGCAAAGTTGTAATTCTAAAAAGATAAATGCTAACATATAATATTAAAAAATTCATTATTCATAATTATTATTTAATCTTTCAAAGAATGTTACTCTTGCTTCTAATCTTCTCATCACTATGGTGGTAACGGGAAATCTCTTCTCATGCCTGTTTTCAGGGCTATGAAAGGAACTCTGAAAAGCCCAATATTGCTTTAGGGCTTACCAAATATTCAAAATCATTACAAGAGAAATCAACACTGGGCAACAAAAAAGTAACATGAAGGTATTATTCAAATACTGCATCACTTGAGAACTAGTTGACTGACAAATTGTTTCTAAAGTGATACACTTTTTCAGAACAGCTCCAGGAGCTGTCACTTTCTCTACAGGATTCTCTGATATAAGGCACTAAAGTGATGTAGAAAGCAGAAGCATCACTGTCTTCTGCTTTTTTATCTTCACATGAACCTTCCTCTAGGACAATTTTTTTTTTTAATTATAGGTTGTATCTCAGCTGCTTTAACTTCCAGGGCAGACTGTCTAGAATGAATAGAAGACGAGGGCACTGATAATTGATTTGGTTTGATACTGACAGTGAGCTTTGAGCTTTTTGATGGTTAGAGTGAGATTTTCCTGAAGTTTGTAAGATTGGACCCTGTTCCCGTCCTTCCACCTACGGCTCACAGAGACTAGGAAGAAACTGAAACGAGGATATGCCCTCTCCCTTCTGCTCTGAGATTAGGCTGTGTCACCTTAACCCTAGGACACATCAGAAAACGATGACTGTGTGGCTCAGTCTTACAAAATGAAATTGTAATTTCTTGGTGTGGTAGTGTTCACTGTCTTCCTTCCATTTTCTGTATTTTCTTTGTCCCTCCTCTTTCAGTAGTGCCAAGAAATTTCAGATAACTTTTCTGGGCAGTACACAGTGGTGCAAAGGTATGCAAAGTCCATAGGACAAGTTTTCCTGGGAGCAGGGGTGCCATAGTTTTGCTTGAAGATTTGGGGGAAAAGTTAAGAAGTTCAACTCGTGATATTATTAAAAATATTATGTAATATGACAGCAAATAAATCTACATTAATACAATGCAAATCAGTGAAATGTTACATGATTTTTAAAGACAAGAAAAAGACTGTATAGACTTTTTTTTTTCTTATAGAAAAACTATCCTTCGCTATTGGAGTTCTATGTTAGCAAAAACTTGCAAGACAAAGTCATAGGAGTTCTAAGGCCCAAATCTAGACAAAAGTTGCCAAGGAATTATTTTGGTGAACATAGCTAAGGTTTAGGCGTATCTGATAAGGCTTCTTCCAATTTCCCATGTCACAGTCCCTCAGTAAGTAGACTCTGAGATGAACTGGCTTTATCTTGCCACATATCTAACTCCAACCAGATTTTTGCATTTCACGTCCCCAGAGCCAAGGAGCAGAGCGAAACCACATGGCACATAAGGGCTACGCATCCCCAGGCTGTAGCTGACATACGTTTCTCAGGGAAGAGCTGTGAAATGGGAAGACATGATTGGCACCTTCGGTCCAGTGGGCCTTCTAAAACCAGCACAGAGCTGTCCAAAGTAACTGCTTTGGACAAAGAAACAGTTAATTAGATATTGAAATTCTCACATGCTTGGTAAAATTGTTTTACAACTTACACTTCCTCACATCTCTCTGGAATGGGGGTGAATGAAGTCAGAGTGAGAGCCAAAAGAATCTCCCTTCCAGTTTGAACCCCCAAATAGCTTTGCAGTAGCTCAACACTGGGAAGTTATGCTATAATAATTTTCCTTTTTAGTGTATTTGGAAGATGGAGAGTTGTGCCTCATTACACATTGTGGGTTGGAAATGTTTTTTTTTTCCAACATGAATAGCCAAATAGCACGCAAAGAGACTCATAAGTCAACATAAACTATTCAGCCTAATGTTCTAGATTCTAGAACAGCATTACAGAGTAAAATGTTTCCTTCTCCTCACCATCAGCGAACAATCAAAATGAGAAGGTATGAGGTGCCCCTGAATGCAGAAATGAGTCCTGTTTAGCTGCATGTGCATGTGCCCTAGGCCTGGCCCCCGTCTTAGCTGTTCATGTTGGGCATTTAGCGAGCTGTGAGTTACGCCATCTATTTTCTGGGATCAGGAACAGGGTACCTTTGTGTATCATGTTACTTCTGATCCTGGACTGAGACTGCAAGTCTCTTTGTTTTTACAACTCTCTGGACAACACTCCCATGTGTCCTTCAATAATAAAGGAAAGAGTGACAACATATTGTTGGCTCTGATTTTTCAGCTCCCCACTTATTCTCTCCACCAGAATGAGGCCTGCTTGCCAGTTTTAATACTCCCAGTTTAATACTCCCAGTTTAATACTCCCAGTTTGGGCTCAGTTTCTGTTCTTTCCTACCTTATTTTTAGATAAATTCCCCTGGACAGTCTGACTCTGCTATGAGATACCCCATTATTCTCATTGCCCACTAAAGAGGGCTCCATGACCCGCTCCTCCACTCTGGATGGCTTCCTCTTATTTTCTAGTCTCCTGGAATGGAACTTGAATTGTCTCATTCTTTTGTGTATTGTTCCCTATTTCTCAAGTGCTGTTGAGGTCACGATTCTGTTTACTCCTGCTCCCCACCCTGCATGTTTTGGCTGGTCTCTCTTTCACTTTTAGGTTGCTATTAAGTACCAGCCATGGCATTTTATGTTGGCTTTGCTATGTAAGCTAATGTTACCATTAAATGAAAAGCTAACTTATTCATTAAGATACTCAACAGTAATTAGCCTTTGGAGCATGATTGCTTTGGAGCATGATCACAGTGTAAAACTACATTGTGTCTCTTTGTTTCAGGTCTTGATTTACATGAAGAACCTGGTGAAGAGACCAAACTATGCTCTCCCAGTCTATCATTCTAGTGGCACCGGAAATTGGATTTGGCTCGGGAAACTTCCAGTCTTAAATGGTTAAGCATCCAGATACAAGGTAAGATAACTAGACAACTATTCTCCGAGAATCCTGCAAATGCTGGATTTTAAGTATCTTCCTTCTCCCTCCCTTTGCACTGAGGAAGAGACAGGGAAAAAACAAACAAACCCAGTGTCAGAACAGTCTATATATCTATGTATGAACTAATAAGTTCACTGGAAAAAAAACATGACAATGACATCCTCATAATAACAGAAATAAAACAACTAATATTAACACATCCATTCATATCATTCCTACTACCACTTCTGGTCCCATTTAGTAAAGCTCTATAGGTGCTTTAAACTCATTTCCTAATCAATCCTGGCAAGGGAAGGATTATTATCCTCATTATACATGAAAAATAGTCAAGTCTCAGAGAGATCAGATAACTTGTCTAAGATCACACAGCTAGAAGGTGACTAAACCAAAAATTTAATCTAGATCTGTTTGATTTTTTAAAAAAATCTATATTTCAGCCACTACACCAAGATGACTCTCATTAGCTATCAGCTTGTTCAAAGATCTCATTTGCCAAACTTTATGTACACAAGTAAAATTAGATGGAACAAGTTTTCTGGTTCATTGGAAAACTAATTTCAACCTACGTCCTGATTTCTCTTATTTGTTTTCTTTTTTCTTTTCTGCCTGTGCAGATGTTGGCAATGTTGCTCCATAAAACAAGCCAAATTGGACAGTGAGCGCCTTTGGTGGATGGCATGTGTCACTGAGGTCAGCTGTGATTGCTGAGGTTAGGTTGTTCTTGGGGGCCAAGCAGCTCTGAGAATTATGAGCTACCGTGGCGAACATGGAAAGCCAGTCCAGTCTCACTGAAATCTGTTCCCCTTTTGCTTTTAGACCTGCTCCTTGTCTTCACATGACTTTTTAGTGTCCAATTCTAAAGAAATGTTATACTTAGCGTATACTTTGCAGATTGTAATGGCAATTGCTGACTCACTCTATTGACTCATTGATCCACCCCCAGGATGAAGGCAAAGGTGCAGAAAATGACCCAGGTGGCAGGCTTAGGTTGTCCCAAGTCTCCCCACAAGGAGAATGACATTCATCTTCTCTTATCTCAGCTTCCTGATTTCTGAGGCTTATTTCCAAGAACCAAGTAGATGAGTAGGCCGGTTCAGACTGTGTAGATAGTAAATATGTTGTTTATTACCTAAAACCAATGTGATCAGTAGAAGCAATAGAAAGTCCCTATCTTTCTCTGTTTGAATATATAGGCTCAAATGAATACTTTTACATATTATATTCTCCTGCATTGCATCCTTCATTTTCTACATTGTAAATTCCTGCCCAAATCCTTCTCCAGAGCTTCCTCCAGGAGACCTCATTAGGAATTAACTATTTGCTTCATTTTATGTAATTTTCCTCTTTTCAATCTGTGGCTATAAGTCGAGGGTTCGATTTCTGGGGCAAATGTGAGCAAAACAGGTGTGGTGCTTTTTCATCTGAGTTCTTAAATTATTTGGTCTGATTTCTACTATCTAGTTAGCTCTTTTCGCTCTTTGGTTAAAATAATGCAAACCATTCTACACGCTGCCTTTTCCTATTCTTGTTTGCCTCAATTCCTTCTTAAGAGCTAGTGTGCATGCCCTCTGCTGAATTTACAAATTTATTTTTTTTAATTTTTATTTATTTATGATAGTCACAGAGAGAGAGAGAGGCAGAGACACAGGCAGAGGGAGAAGCAGGCTCCATGGACCGGAAGCCCGATGTGGGACTCGATCCCGGGTCTCCAGGATCGCGCCCTGGGCCAAAGGCAGGTGCCAAACCGCTGCGCCACCCAGGGATCCCCTGAATTTACAAATTTAAATCATTTTCTTTCCACTAGCTCACTTTGATTTCTTTCTCTTCATTCTATGTCAGAGTCTCCCTTGGATCAATATGTTCCACTCAAGAGGAACCAGTTTCAAAGCAGAGTTTCTCAGTTCAGGAGAAAAGAAAACAACTTTAATTATCTTTAACAAACCCTTTCCTCTATGTGACACCTGCTACGTAACTAGAGAAGATTCAGCCCATACATTTAGATTGATCAAAATGAATGTCTTCTCTAGGTCACCTCTTCTTGTTTCCAGAAATAAACAAAACAAAACAGAGCCCAAAATGTTTTTGGGTGGCTAGGTGGAGATAATATCCCACTGAACAAAATCTCTGCTTAATGATGAGGACAGTGTTTTAGTGTTGTGTGAGTTATAGTAATTTAGACACTGTTGAGAAATGAGGTGTGGTTGGGTGAATAAGAACTAAATCTGAATGAATTCCAAATAGGTGTTTAGAATGGACACCCTTGATAATTTAACTTCCAAGAAACAAAATTAGGGAAAAAAATTATATGTGACATGTGATGGATTTCAGAGACCTATTTAGAACCATAGAACCGAGGAGCACTATAGCTGAAGAACTGCTTAGAAAGCATCTATTTCTGCAGCTCATTTTACTGATTAGAAAACTGAAGTTTAGAGACAAGAAATGAATTTTCCAAAATTACCCAACTATTTAGTGTCACAGTTCAGACTGGTGTTTCCTGGGTAAAATATTCATGGTGGGCATATCTTTACCAAGAACTAGATCATAACTATGATTCCATTTGAAGCTGTCCTGAGATGTTTACTTCAATTCAGTTTAATCAAGCCCACTTAAATTCCACCCTTACAGCTTTCAAGTATTTTGGAAACTCCATACTTTTGTCGAGATGGGAGTAAAAGCAAGGAGAAAGAGATTTTTGGAAACCTCATAGTGAAAGGTAAAAGAAACAAGAAGGAAAATTTTAGAATCTTATAAAATAAACACAAAGATAAAATATCATAAGACACGCCATTCACCACTTTGCCCCAACACTAAAAAGCTGTTTGCATTGTTACACTGACAGCAGTGGGTGATATAGAACTAGGAATCTTTTAAACCTCCCAAATCATCATCCCTGGTCACTAACTGCAGAAATGCCAGCAGTCTTCACCTACACTAAGAGGAAAATATAGAATCAGAACAAAAACATTTCACTTGATAAAAATCATCTCTGAAAGGCAACCACAAACCAGAAGAATACTGTCATAAAACTCTATTGACCAAATTAATTCTCAAATATATGACATTATGGAAAAAAAAAAAAGAACCTTGAGTTACTTTTCTGAGAGCAGAAATGGAAAAGAAAAAAAAAAGGAAGAAATGAAATGAGTCTTTCAGGGAAGAAATACAAAAAAAAAAAAAAGATTAATTTACAACTTGTCCAGTGAATAATAAATTAAAAATTAAGTGTCTGTGAAAAGGAGCAGGACAATGACTGAAAGAATGAAAACACATCATAAAAAAAAAGACTAAAGAAAAAATCATTTCAAACTTGCAAGAACTCAAGGAATTCTGAGCAACTGCTGAGAAAATACACAGAAAATACTATCTGCATAGTATTTATAACATAAAGTAAAATGACAGAGGTGAGACCAACTATGTCAGTTATATCAATAAATATGATGAACTTAATTCATTTATTAAAAGAAAAACTATTTATAATCTGTCTCAAAAAGTAAGATCCAACTACTTACTTTATACAAGGGGGCACATCTGAACCAAATCATTCAGAAATGCTAAATACAAAGGGATGAGGCAAAGTACGAGAAAGGAAGCAATGACAAAACTGATATTTCTGCCCAAAATGCATGACCTCAATATATTCACAAGGAAACATCAGATAAACTCAAATCAAGAAAGATTTTTTACCAAGTAATTGGCCTGTACTCTTCAAAATAAAAAAAAAAATAGACAAAGTATTGGAAAACAAAACCACCAGGAATTGTCCAGATTAAAAGAGACTAAACAGACTGGTAATTAAATTGAATGTGTGGTACTGGACTGGGCTCTGTACCAGACTTTTTTTTTTTCCTACAGAAAACATTATTGTTGTAATTGGCAAAATGTTAACAGAGCTTATAGATTAAAAATAACACTATATCAATGCCAGTTTCCTAATATTGATATTTTTACTGTGATTATGTAAATACATGTCCTTGTTCTTAGGGAGTGCACACTGAAATATACATGTAGGGTTAAAATGACATCATATCTGTAAAACTTACTGCCAAAAGTCTCTGAAAAATTATGATAATTTGTAACTCTGTGTGTGCATGTATGTGTGTATGTATGTGTCCAGGTAAAGTGTTCAAGGGTTCTTTGTACTAGGCTTGCAACATTCTATAGTCCTGAAATTATTCCAAAATTTAAAAACTAAAAAAAAAAATGATTTTCAGAGGATGGACACACATTAATTAAGTAAGGCATTTGCAGCCATTGGAAGGATTTGAGAATATCTTCTGCAGGCTTTGCTGGGTTATAAATTTGATTGTTTTTAGGGGAATTCTGTTCAAGGACTTGTTCTGCCCTGATTATTGGGTTGTGACTGGCTACAAATGCCATCAAGTTCAAAGTAGTGTGATTTTTAGTGAAAGAATACATCCATAAATTTTATCTAAGTGATTTTTGCCTTTCTTGGAAAGAATCTTAGGTAAAGTAAAATTGAGAGTAAAAGCACAGAGCACAAGGGCCTCTTTGGACATAGATGCTTTGGAGGGTTTTCTGAGCTGCTGATGTTTTGATTCCCATGTGCGAAATGCAAGCTTTTTTTTAAAAAAAAAATCTGAGATATCCTGGGGTTTTCAAAATTAACAAGTACATTTCTGTTGCATCATAGAACTCAATCTTAATGGTAAATTAAACAAAAGCAAAGATAATGGCCCTTGGAAGTAATAGTTTGTAAAACAATGGTTCTTAGGCAGCTTGCTCACTTTGTTAGCTAAGGATACTTTCTCCTTCATTGATATTGGAAAAACTGGAGGCATTATATGATAAATGTAATTATGTTTACAAGCCTCCAAATCCAACATGAGATAAATTCAAGCTACATTAATAGTTACTTCCCACGCTTAGATTATGAGGGGAAAAAAGGAATGGGAAAAAAGTAGATTGCATTTTATGGTGTTTTTGTTTTATTTGCCTTGAGCCAATAA